AATAATTTTGTTCTGGACTTCAACAACAAGGGAGTTTCTTGTAGGCAGCAGCTAAGAGAGTAAGTGAAACCCCTGTCAGTGTGTCCTGTGGCGAGCTGTGTTCCGTAGCCAGGAAGAGCTCATACATGATGGTAGCGGCTGTATTTATCCTCCTTACAACTTCCCCTGAAGAGCTAATGTCAGAGCAGTCAACAAAGGTCTCAGGTTTCGTTCCATCTGTATAGAACTTTGTATTATATTTATTCAATTGAACGAGCTCATAATATTTTTGCAGACGAACCACATTTCGAGTGTTTTTCTTGTTATACTGTGCAAGAGAAAGGTTGCAGTGTATGTCAGAATATTCGACTACCTGGGATGCCACATCTAATCCATCAGAAAGCCAAGGCTTTCAGTCGCATGGTGAACGGAGGGATCACGGCACGTTTTGCGAGAAATAGTCGTTCCGATCGTGTTTTTTTAACAACTTCTCAAATGGGGTGCTGGAGGAGAGATCGAATGAGAAGAGAGTACACATGCCCAACGCGAGTCTAAGTCTTCCGAGGAAACATGTATTAGCCTCTGCATAAAAACAGGGCACCAGGGATGTACGAAACGCACCTGTAGCCAAACAAAGCCGAAGATGATGAATATACGATCCAATATTTTGAGAAAAGACTAGCTGGCAGACCCATAAACTAAGCAGCCATAGTCTAGTCGGGAGCGTACCAAAGAGCCATAGATCCGCAGGGGGCACAGTCGATCTGATCCCCAGTACCGGTGCGAGAGAACTTTTATGGTATTGAGAGACTTGTGAGCTTTCGTTTTCAAGGTTTTTATATGAGCATTGTAATTCAGTTTACTTTCAAACGTGAGACACAAAAATTTGTTGACGTAGATGCCGAAAGCTGAAGGGTGCTTTTTACCTCCCTGGCATCCTTGAACGGATCATCAGCGACGCACCCGACGATCTTCAAATCGTCCTCTTCTGAAGTCGCACGTGGGCGCGATCTACCTGGGGCCTCTTCTAGGCATCCTTCGTTGCGATACTCTTGAATGATGCGATCTATTGCGGACAGCAAAAAATTTGTCAAAATTCGAAATTCTCTTTGGAAGTGGCCTGCTCTTGAAAGTGATACTCTTCGTATCCGGTCTTCAAGTGGGACTTTTGGCGGTATGGGCCAGCCAATTAGTTATACGGTTCTTTTCCTGTCTAAATGTTTCGTTGTGCAGCTACGACAAGACACCTGAATGAAATAATCAATAACTGATGTTTTCGGCAGTCATCTATCCAACGTCGAGCGAGGAGATTGCGATAAGAGTATATTGCTTGCCCGGTGAAATTCCTGCGGTGTTGCCGGTCCAGCTGCGATATCGACCTTGAACGGAGCGGCCTCCCCTGCTTGGGCTGTTCCATAGTGTGCCTCGTTACGGAGCCGTTTTTGTCGGCTGCCGCCAGGATAGCGCTCCCTCAAGATAAGCCACGGCTCGCGCGTTCGAAAAAAGTTTGCTGACAACTGTACATGCATTTTTGCTGGTTACCTGGCCCTACGCACAAGCGGGACGCAGCTTTCGGAGGCCAGCACTATTTTTTTTTTGTAGTTTGTAATTTCAATGAAGTAATATTATTATTATTATTATTATTAGTTTTCTTGTCTTGTTTTCGCAGTGACACAGCTTCATCGTGTGAAGGCTTCGGACCTTACAGTAATGTAGTGTGCATACAGTTATCAAATACTGGCAGCAGTGGCGTCCGCCGACAGTCCTTCGTCAATGAAAGGAGATTCCTCCGCTAAAGGAGATTCGGGGGGGGGGGGGGGGGGGGTTAGTACGCAACGCAAGAGAACCAGCTAGCCTAGGGACAGCATGACTTACTATACCCTGTGGTAGAGCAGCACCATTCAACCGACTTTGTCTGTTGTAAAAAAAAAAAAAAAAAACGAAAGTCGTTTACAATTTTCTGTAATCTCGAATTGGAGCACAGCTCTTGAGGAATAGGAGGGGAGGGTACGGAAAGGAGGGTATGCTCCTTCTCCCCTTCGTACTCTCCACTCCTGCTCTTCTGCTACCCTCCCTTTTAGCGGAACAGTTTGGCAAACTTGTTTCTAAATTTATTGGAAAACTTTTTCCGCTAGATTTAGCGGAAAATTTGGCAATACTTGTTTCTACATTTATTGGGAAACTGTTCCGTTAGATTTAGCGGTAAATTCCCCGCTAAATTTACAAGAGAAATTGTTTTTGCTTAATAGGGCGGGGAAACATTTCCGCTAAATTTGGCGGAGTGATGCTACCACTAAATTTGGCGGGAAATTTTTTCGCTAATTTTAACGGAAGAATTTCCCCTCTAAATTTAGCGGAAAAATTTACCTGCCAAATTCAGTGGCAAAATTTTCCCGCTAAAGTTAGCTGGGAAATTTAGCGAAAATTTTAACAGACTGGAACGCACTGTTACGCCTGCTTGCATTATTCCGATAATGCAACCCGCGCGGTTACGCCGACGGCAACAGCGATGCAGCTCAAGCCAGAAATGGGGGCCTAAGATTTGCGCTCAAAAATGAAAGACGTATACGAATCTCTGTAGTGCGAAACTAGAGGGCAGCTCTTGAGGAGGGTACGGAGGAGAGGGTATGCCCATCCCTTCTCCTCCTCTTCCCTCCTCATTTCTTTCCCTCCCCTCCTCTTTCCTCATCTTTTTCCCAACTCCGCCCCTCGCCCTCCACCGCTCCGCTGACCAAAGTTTCGCGGTGCGAAGCTTCGGTCAGCTGGGAAATAACGTCACGTCACATGAAGTCATGTGACGTCATTTTCCCCGCTAAATTTTCCGGCAAAACCTAATTTGTCTTGAGGTCACGTGAGGCCAATTTTCCCGCTAAGGTTAGCGGGTTGAGTTTTTCCTTTGAATATAGAGGGGAAATTGATGTCACGTGAGCTCAACACCAGTTCAGTTTGCCCGGTATATTTAGGGGAAGAAATGAGGTCACAGGACTTTCTGTCACGTCACATATGAAAACATTCAGTTTCCGCACTAGATATATCTGGAAAATATAAGTCACGTGACCTCAACATCAATTCAATTTTCCTCTAAGTTTATCGGTGCGTTTACGCCGACGGCGACGCCGCGAAACACAGAAACGGTCACCAAAGAGCTGCACTCTAAACATGTCTCCTTCTGGCTTGTTCACATTGGCGACCAGCGGTAGTGGCGCGAGCGACTGGCGACATGCTACAAGTGACCGCCGACGTTCGCCCTGCGGGCGATCGGCGAGTCGCTACAGTGGAGTCGCTTCTCGGAAGCTCTCGGGAGCCGTCATTGATCCCGTCTTCCCCCCCACCCGCAGCTCGGGTTCGTGTTTCGCTGCTTTCCCATTTTCGTTGTCTCACAGGTACACATGCGTCGTCGTTCCCATATTAAAAGACTCGTTTTGTTGGCATGGGTCCTTCTGAACTGCACAAAGAAGCACAATCGCTAGATCGGCTTGGACTCGCTCTAGCTACCGCGTCGCAGTTCATACCTGTTGAAACAAAAGTGGAAAGATTTTGCTGCCCAATCGCGTTTTTTTTTTTTTTTTTTTCTGGCCGGGGGGGGGGGGGGGGGGGGGGGTTCGTTTAAATCGGGTGCTAGTTTTATAAAAAAAAAGGGGTATTCTCTAATAGCGAGCCGCCGCAGAAACCTCCGTGGCTCCGTATCCACGGCCGCGAACCGAGGTGTGGGACGGGCATGTTTAATGCTTCTCCTACACAAGTTCGTCATGCCGGATGTAAACAAACGCGAGGCGCATCTCACGTAACTTCCGAGGCCCCGCTGGTCGGTTCAGCAGCCGTGCGACGAGCGCCCGATCGCAAAAATCGGTTTGGAAGATACAGCTTCAAGCCTGTAGCTTTCACGACTTGCCATTATTGCTTTTGCGACAAAAGTTGCCGCGCGACATCTGCGACTTGTCAGTGTGAAAGCGCCTTTACAGCCGACGTCGTGCGGCAAAGCCTCTGTAACGAAAGCAAGCTACTAGGCTTGTGTGAAATTCGACACGAATAGCGCTGCGTCATTCATAGCCTTGACAGTGTAAGAAAAAGCCAAGATGAATACTAGTAGTTCATTCAACAGTGCAGAAACTAGGGATGACGCTGAGCTATATTATTCGAACCACTATTCGCACAACCTTACAAGCCAGCTCAATTTGAGTAAAGTTTTAATGTCGTTTTTCTCTTGAGACCATATGTTACTCGTTTTCTTGCCACCACAAGTAAGGTCAAGTAACCCTGAACGGATAATCAGGTCTTAAAGAGAATAAAAAGTGAAGTTTATTTTTAAATATTGACGTGCAATTGTGCCACATTTAAAAGAACGTGCATCGTTTCTGCATTACTAATATAACTAGAATAATGGATAAGCATAATCTTTTATATATTTGTAATACGTATTTAAAGGTGATCATTCTGACATATTGCGCCTTATTTTATATTAAGTAATACGATGGTGAATAATTTCTGAATTTCATTAAAATGCGCTTGTTACACGGGTTTCAAAATTAATTTTATAGAAATATTTTATTGTCATATTTGGTATTCCGCATACATGTTGCATACTTTTTATAAAATAACAAATACAGAAATATTTCTACGTGCATGCTTCCGTGTGAAATGGACGGCTGTGCAAATCACCGTAGGGAAACAATGGCAAACTACTCGGCTTGAGCTTCAAAATTTTGTATCTCCGGGGTAAAATCAGTTACGGCGTTCGCATATAGCTGAATGCTCCTTCCAGGAATATGGCTTCAATATGTATTTTACATTACTATAAAAAAAAAATATGACCTGGACTATAATTTCACAATCTCACCTGAAAATACCCTGAAGTCAAGTACACGTCGCTCTTCTACATCCCTATTCAGATCAATGATTGAATTGTACGAGTACTATATAGTTTCCTATCACTAGGAGAAGCATTAAAGTGTACTCTAATATTATATAGATTGAGATCGTTTTAGCTTAAAAAAGGTTGTTAAAGTTCGCGTTCCGCTTACCTTGGGATACGTTTTAGACAAGGTGGAGATATTCATTTCGTTGTACATTGAGGACAAGTTACCTCTGTCTTCATCAGCCTTAGAGTGCTTAGAAAAAGAAAAAGAAAACAACCGAATAACGGTCGTAATTTTTATGTACTCGAAATCTTCCCGATATTTTGTTTTGTTTTGTTTTGCGGGTTATGTTTTATTGTGAGTCCTTTTTTTTTAGGATCCCATGCAAAAGGCGCTACTGTGTTTGTCATGGGTTCCCAGACGTTTTAGCCTAGCTCAATTAATAGGCCTGCCGGAAAGTTTTGATAACAAATTGAAATTGCAGTGCGCAGGAATAATTTCCCAGACCACTCACACACACGGGGACGATTGGAGTAAATGTAAAATCCCGTTAAGGGGTTATCCTACGTAAACCGCACTAAAATAAAAATATATATATATATATTTTCGCCACCTTTTTGGCAATCGGGATGGTTTGTCGGCAATATTCGTTTGAATAGTAAAGCGAATGAAAGTTTGTTTTCTACCTGGGAATTTTACTATCAGTAATACTGTGTTCCAGGGCTTTAAAAGGGTCCTAAGCTTTCTGTGATCACCGTACTTAGCTCGTATATTTTTAGCCGATGAATAGTCCCTTTTACTTGTCAATATAATGACTTTAATGCCATTAAAAAATCTCAAAAGTGATGAAATTTTTATGAAGCCGTGATAATATATTGCACGTGAAAATATGCGAAGCATATCCTAGACTGTGAATGAAATGCTTTGTAAATTTCCTTTCGCAGAAGAGCTTCATTATTATGACATCAATATATACTTTACTTTGCATAAAAAAATCTCTAAGTTATATTGTCAGCTCCATAAACATTTTAAGTGGGAGTGTCGAGGGATTTCATACTTGAGGACTAGTTCTTTTTAACACTGCGCGGCACTATTTACACAAACAGAACAAAAACTTTTTCGGCGCATTTTACTTAGCCACGGTGTTGAGAAGTACCAACTTTTATAACTAAGAATACTGTCATAAATTAAATCTCTTTGTTTTAAAAGTTGTTTTTTTTTGTGTCAGATAGTCAATTAGAACAGAAATACAGTAAAATCGTGAATAGCTTGTTCTCACTAAAAGGCATCGCTTAGGGTACTTGGTACTAAAACTTCAGGAATTGCACAAAAGTGAGCATTTTGTTAAATATCTCGAACACAGGAACATATATTAAAAGCATGAAACCCGCCTAAATTTTATGGAACCTGAAAGCTTTCTCAGAAAAAAATGCAAAAAAAAAAAGAAAACAAGGCCCGATCACGAAGTTTCAAATTGAATAACAAATTAATTCGCTTTAGCGGGAGATAAAAGATGTATGGGGCGTTCAAAATAACTAGGATCGATCTAAAATGGGTCGTAAAAATCGGCGCCTGCACGAAGCATTCGAAACGTTACGTGAAGGGTGTGTTTTACAGGTTGGTTTTATCTCCTAAAAATGGAAAGCGTAACTCCCATTCTGTAAGAAATATGGCCAAAAAGCATGCCAGGGTCAACGGCGGACGGCAACGCAGAAAAGCGAATCAAGTGGCGGGCGCGCTTGGCGCAGGTATTGATAAATGGCGTTGGGAGCAGCGTCGGAAGGTACAGCCTATCAGCGAAAGCAGACGACACGCGCGTACAAAATACGCCGGCAGAGAGAACGCCGTAGTTATGCAACCGCGTTTTTAGAGCGCATCTCTTAGGCGCCCGTTTCCGGCTTGACCGCCGTCGGCGTCGCCGTCACCGTCGCCGTCGGCGTAACCGCGCGGTGCATTATGGGTAAATTTTCCCGAAGGAACCCGAGGTCCTCCAGAAGGACCTCGGGTTCCTTCGGGAGGACCTCGGGAGGACTTTCGGAGGACCTCGCGTTCCTTGGGGAGGACCTCGGAAGGACCTCGGGTTCCTTTGGGAGGACCTCGGGAGGACCTCGGGTTCCTTCGGGAGGACCTGGGGCGGGGGGGGGGGGTCACGTGACCTGCGGGGTCACATGACGATGATGTCATCAGTGACGTCATCAGTGATGATGACGATGACGATGCGGATACCGACGACGTCATCTGTGACGTCACTGATGATGTCATCAGCGATGATGACGATGACGATGCGGATGCCGATGACGTCATCGGCATCCGCATCGTCATCGCCATCACCACTGATGACGTCATCGTCACGTGGCCCCACCCCCATGTCACGTAATCTCCCAGGTCACGTGACCCACCAAGGTCACGTGATCCCCCAGTAACTTCCCTCCTCCTCCTCCTCAAGAGCTGCGCTCTAATTCGGCGTTACAGGATAAACGGCTTTCATTTTTTTAAATTTTGGTTTCACTTCGTTTTACTTTTATTGCCCGCATTTATTTTTAAGCCAAAGGTATATATAAAAATATTGTGTTAACTTTAATAGACCACGGTCTTCGCGAGCAGTCTTCGCGAGCAGTCTCGAATAAAGTCCCTCTTAGTCTTGATAAGGAGCTAGAGCCAGCTATCAGTATGTTCGCCAAATAGGCCCCGCGCCACTCGACTGGTCGTCTGCGTCGCTATCCGCTGTTGACCACGGTAAGTAGTTTGGCCCTCTTTTTTACAGAAAGGAAGCTACGCTTTGAAATTTTACAAGATAAAACCGACGTGTGAAATTCACCTTTAAGGAAGTATTTAGATTGCTACGTGCTGTCGCCGGTTTTACGGCCCATTTTAGATCGAGCCTGGTTATTTCAGGCACCCAATACTTAAGATTTGCTACTGAAAGGTATTATATATTACCTTTGCCAGTGTGGCTTCAAACTGCAGTATATCTTCGGAAAGTTGCTGCGCCTTGTCATCAGTTAAGTCGCGCCTGAAGACCTTCGTAGTTGACTCAATAAGTTTCTTGTAGGCCGCAACCATTTTGACACCGGCTTCTGTTGTCTGGTTAATCAGTTCGTTTTCATTGACCCAGCCAAACAAAATTTGGTCGAGCTTGAGAAATAATGCATGTTGGAATTGACTTGTTAATATCTAGTATATCACACATATGCGCTTATAAACAGCATATTTCATAGTAGGGTGATTTCAGATAAGATCGACCAAAGGATCAAGCGATTTTTTTATATGCCATTGTATAGTGTCTGGTATAAACGAATCCACACTTAGTGTTGGCTAGAAAAAGAAATTGGGGACAGGAAACTTCGTAAGGCATGGACAGTTGCGCTAACGCGCATTGATGGAGGGGGCAGGTTTAAAATTGAATAACTAAAACAATAAATTGGGAAAATTTTAGTACTTTTTATAATAAAACAATGGCTACAGGTTGCTCGTAATATATAGGAATAATATTTCTTTAAATGATTTTTATTCTTTTAAACATTGCCAAACATGCCTGCTGGGATGACAAATGGCAAAATTTGGAGGCCTGTATGTCATCAAATAATTTAATCACAAACATATAATTTGGAGATAGTCTTCTACTTCTCTATGGCTATTATTTAAAGTATATATAAGTACCTCAGTGATACGATAGTCGTGCTATATTACACAAAGGCGAGGAAAAAATCATACATCGACAAATTTCTGTGCGAATAAATAAACACCTTGGTTTTTTTTTAAATTCGGGCATCCTGACATACTCTATTTCGGCATTCATTCTATTAAAAACATGTTGCATTATGTTATTGAGAAAGAAGACACAACTCCCCAAAGTAGAGTCCTTTTCCAAAGCCTGCACTTCCCAGGTAGCACACCATGTCGGCCGATACTGGGATTACGTCGGCCAGTACCGGGAGCTGTACGGCGGATCCCGGCCAGGGACGCCGGTAAGAAACCGATCCCGGCCGATATCGGGGACTCGTTGTCTAAACTGGCCAGCGCCAGCCGGAAAGTTCCCGATGCCGGCCGACATCGTTTTCTTGCTGTAGTCACCGGCCAGTCTAGCCGTGGAGTTTCCGGTGACTGGCCGATATCGTTTTCTTGCTGTAGTCGCTGGCCAGTCTAGCCATGGAGTTTCCGGTGACTGGCCGACATCGTTTTCTTGCTGTAGTCACCGGCCAGCCTAGCCATGGAGTTTCCGGTGACTGGCCGATATCGTTTTCTTGCTGTAGTCACTGGCCACCCTAGCCATAGAGTTTCCGGTGACTGGCCGACATCGTTTTCTTGCTGTAGTCAGCGGCCAGTCTAGCCGTGGAGTCTCCGCTGACTGGCCGACATCGTTTTCTCTTTGTAATCACCGGCCAGTTCAGCCACGGAGTTTTCGATGACTGACCGACGTCGTTTTCTCGCTGCTTTCACAGGCCATTCGAGCCATGCAAGTTTTGATATGTAACCGACATGGCTTTTTCGCTGATATAGAAACTATATGATGGTTACAAATGACCGTTAGGTTGGACATGTCTTCAATATGCTAAAAGGTGACACCTAATATTATCCTTGGCCTAGTATTAACGCCGCATCATCCTTGAACCAGTTAACAAAGGCTTATTTCAGTTTTGTTAAAAAAGACGGGATCAAACATGGCTGTGGAATGAAAATTCAATTTGGTTTACATCTATTAATTTTTTAGAGAGCAGCTCTTAGACGCCCGTTTCCGGCTTGAGCGGCATCGCCGTCGCAGTCGCCGTCGGCGTAACCGCGCGTTGCATTATGGGAAACGTCCCATAATGCAACGCGCGGGTCTCACTCATGACCCGCGCATTGCATTATGGGGCCTTTCCCATAATGACGGCGTGTGCGCGTTGCATTATGGGAAGCGTCCCATGATGCAACGCGCGGTCGGCGACGGCGACGCCAACATCGCCGTCGGCGTAACCGCGCGTTGCGTTATGGGAAACGTCTCATAATGCAACGCGCCGTCTCATTTGTGACCCGCGCATTGCATTATGGAAAGCGTCTCATGATGCAACGCGCGGGTCGGCGACGCCAACGTCGCCGTCGGCGTAACCACGCGTTCAGTTATGGGAAACGTCGTATAATGCAATGTGCAGTCTCATTCGTGACCCGCGCATTGCATTATGGGACGTTTCCTATAATGACATCACAATTGACGTCACATGTGACGTCACAAGGGTCCCGCACGTTGCATTATGGAAAAAGTCCAATGATGCAACGCGCGGGTCACTCGTGACCTGCGCGTTGCATCGTGGCGGCGAAACTTGCTTTCGATGAGTCGGGCATTTTTACTGCGGCACTGCGCTTCCGTAGAAATTTCCACATGTTCTCAACGGCAAGTCTCAGGGCTTACACAGGGTTTTAAAGAGCTTCTTCGACGATTGACTACGAACGAGTAGAAAGCGTGTCTTCAGCATGTTGCCGCCAGCCTCCGAAACGCTCCAAAAACGCGATTTTTCAAGATGCAAAATCGCCGATCGGTGGCTTCACTCTCGTGCTGCAGCTGCAGCGACCAAGCGGGGATGCGCGATCCAGCCCTTTGCCCAGGCAGATGCCGAGCGCTCCGCGCAAGCGGTCGTTCAGCGGTCGGCCTCAGTAAGCGATCCACCCAGTTGCACGCGCTGCCACCGCTTTCATAGCGTCTGCCCCACTGTCTGCCCTCGCTTTTTAACAGTTTCGGTTCCCATTTTTATTTTGCTGAGAGCATGAAGTTCTGATCGGAACTTCATGCTTTGATAAAATGTCCTGCCGTCGTGGCGCTGTACGTTTTGCAAAGGGGCTGTTAAGCAATACCAAACACGCATGCCGTAAAGCGACCGTCATCTCCGCAGGCGAGTTCCATCTGAGGGGAATTTGTCGTATTGTCTTCTAGCAAACGACATACCTAGCTCTTCATCCGAACAAGTGTGCACAACGTCTTCGACGTAACGCCATATCTTGGGCCTCTTCGCTGGCAAGGCGAATGAGTCGGCAAAGACTTCGCCGAGAACGGCTGCCTCGTCGTCACTCGAGCTGGAGCTAAGCTGGTATCTTCGTCGCTGTCGCTGATTTCGCTGCTACTGCGTTTTATTAGACGATGTCAGCGCCGCAGTATGCTCGGGCCAGTCGGTCATGACAAGAGGAGCGAAAGCAAGCACAGCAAGAGAGCCCACCCAGCAATCGAAACAAAAAACAGCGAAACTCCTTCATTTCCCCGCGGCAACGTTGATAACGAAACTGAAATGTTGCGAGTGACTATAGATCGTACTCCCCCGAAAAAGGCTGCGCGGAGAACTACTCCGGGTCCGATGGTCTGTCCGAGGAAGACACAGTTTGTTCGGCACATTCGTTTTTTACATCATTCTGCATGATCGTAATCGAAACATCACGTGCACCCTATATTCAACCACAAAGGGTCACTACTTCCATAAACCCCTGCGTGCAACACGGCGCGCGTTGCTCTTTGGGATCTAGTTGGCCAGGGAGGAGAGTGGCATGGTTTCGGTTTCGATCGGCAGCGTGGACTATTAACGGCCGTGATCTCACGTTTTTTGGTCTCGAGAGCATCATTTTTGGTCTCTAAACTAACCTAAATGGCCAGACCTCGAATCTATAGCACAAGCCCGAGACGTATAGCTTGCCTTCACACATGCTTGTTGTATTTTTATACTCTATCGAGCCTTTCTGTTTGCGTTTCGAGATATTCGTGAACGAGCCAGTGCTGGGAATCTCGACGCTGCGTAGCTCGGGTATCTTGCTTGTGTACGAGTCATCAAGCTGTAATGACCAATAAGTTTGCATACATCGAGCTCGCACCTTTACAGCTGGTCAGGAAGTTTGTTTGTTTTATGCGTCCATAGACAAAATAATATTTTTTGCACCTACTGTTTTTCTTAATACGCCTGAGTACGTGAGGTAAAACTTGGAGGCACCATTGAAAAGCTCAATTTGAACACACATCTTATCTCTTATCTGTACTGACTGCACGAAGCTAAGTCCCCACCCGCTTGCATTCCGCTAATATTCAACATCGCGTATGCACATAAATTTTTTCTGCAATCATATAGGCACATTCCCCCACACAAACCGTTTTAAGAAAGCAAAAGTCGAGCAATTGTGTGAAGAACGTTGCACCGTTCGCCGGAAGTGCGTCGGACGGGCGTGAACCTCTATGCGGTGTGCCAAAGGAACAAAATTATTCAAAGCGCATTTGACGGTTGGTAATGGCCGTAATATTTATGTGTTTGCTTTCTTCCTGACTGAGTATGCCGAGATAATTTCAGACACACCGTTTAGACACAAATCTTGGGCGTCAGTAAAAGCTCGTCCAAAAAGGCTTAGCGAAGAGTAGGAGACGCTTGTTAGAGCCTCCGTCGTAGCTAGCCGACCTCAGCGTTTGCGAAAACCTAAGCTCCTATCAGCGTAAAATTTGAGTGGGCGATATATGATGACACGAGGAAGACACCATAGTAATTTGTGTGCAGTAATTTGTGTGCAAGGAAGTTGCCCCAGTTTTCGTTTTGTCAACCATTTCGTCGTTTACTCTGAGACTGGGTTTTTTTTTTTTTTTGAAGAGCAGAAGTAACAGAAAAAACAGACAGGTCTCAGGGTAAACGACGAAATGGTTGACAAAACGAAAACTTCCACCAGCTAGCCTGTACTTTGACTCTTTTCTCGTTTCGTTTTGTATCGTTCGAGAATGAATGTATTGTACGTTCGTGAAAAGTCAGATCATCGAAAACTCAAGCGGCGCATTCGGTCACGGCGTGATAGCATGAAAGGAAGCTGCTCAATCGAAACCGAAACTGAGTGGCCAACTAGTTCCCAGAGGGCACTTCGTCGAAGCGTCGTGTACTTCTTTGTGCCCCCGTTTTTTTTTTTTTTTTTTTTGTTTTTTTTTATAGAATAGCACAGTAGCACAATTATATATTTCCGACTTCGTGTTGAGACTAGAACAGACCTCATCCAGCATCGAGCCAGCTGTTGATAGACTTTGCTAGAAAGCCGATCCAGCATCCAATCCAAAGCCGGACAAGGTGAGCAAACACAAATGGCAAGCCGGACGTTGGCGTGGTCCTTGGCATGGTTCAGGTACGGTGGCTCCAGGGTTGAAAAATTGT